TTAGCTAACACTAGCTAACTTAGTTAGCTAGTGTTAGCTAACTACAAAGTAGGCTAATTTGATGACAATAATATTATACTTTATCACACAAAAGTCATGGATGCGGAAAATAAGTTCATATTTTATAACATCATATATATTCCAAGATATAAAACGAATATAATACTAACATGTCTGTTGCTGTATAAAAATCCTCCTGGGTGGTGAGACTGGCTGGCATTATATGTGTAAGTGCAACAGTAAATGTATACCTGACAGTCACAGTCGATAAGAATCAAAGATTCCTAGGTCTAACCCTTGATATTCCATAGGAAATGCTTGGGGTCATTTTTGACCCCACTTATGGAAGAGTGGGGTAGTGATACAAAAACTGAAACTAAAATGTATATAATTTTTTTTTAAATGCAAATGGCCTCATGCCAAAAACATGTTTTATGAGGAATACCTGGAATATGAGATGATAAAAACTTTTAATTCCATAGATGTTGAAGAAAAACAACCCCTGGGGTCATTTTTGACCCCACTTATGCATCTAAGGGTTAAACCAACCAAAGCACCCTGGATCATCAAACAGTGAGTCAAATTAAACCAAAGACAGTTAGTTTATCATATCACCCGTTACGGCATCTGAGGGCGGCTATTTCTGAACTTATTTGAAAGCCGCAATATTACCGATGATGCCATGGACACTAACACACCCCCGTACTATCACAGATGCTGGCTTTGAACTTTGCACTCTTAACCCGGAAGACACGACGTCCATAATTTCCAAAAACAATTTGAAATGTGGACTCGTCAGACCACAGGACACTACTCCACTTTGTGTCAGTCCAGCTCAGATTAGCTCGAGCACAGAGAAGTTAGGAGTGTTTCTGGATGTTGATATATGGCTTTCACTTTGCATGAAAGCGCCCTAACTTGCATTTGTCGATGCAGTGACAAACTGTGTTTACTGACGGTGCTTTGCCAAAGTGTTCCTAAACCCATGTAGTCATATCCTCTATACAGTCGTGTGTGTTTTTAATGCAGTGCTGTCTGAGGTATCAAAGGTCAAGGGCATTCAATGTTGGTGTTCAACCTTACCCCTTACGTGCAGACATTTCTTACATTTCTCCAGATTCTCTGAATCTTTTGATGATATTATGGATTGTAGATGGTTAAATTTTTAAAGTCTTTGCAATTGTGTATTAAGAAAGGTTGTTCTTAAACTGTTGGACTATTTTTTCTCCATGCAGTTTTTCACAAAGTGGTGAACCTCACCCTGTCCTGCTTGTGAACAACTGAGCATTTTGAGGGTGAACCTTTCACCTGTGGAATGTTTCAAACAAGGCTTTTTTGAGCATTCCACAACTTTGCCAGTTTGACTTACCCCTGTCCAAACTTTTCTGGAATGTGCTGCATGATGAGTGCATATTTAGAAAAATAAAAACATAAAAATAAATAATAAAGATTATCATTTTGAACATTAAATATTTTGCACCATATTCAATTGAATATAGGTCACAAACCATTTGCCAAATATTGCTTTATGTCATTTATGTTGTACACAGCGTCCCAACTTTTTTGGAATTTGGGTCATATAACCAAAATTGCAATATGGCCAAGTGCAATATCCAAATCAAATCAGCTGCAATCTTTTGATCAAGTAAAATGTGTCACAACATACCATTAAAAATGAAGCATTTTTGTGCCCCAGAGATGTAAGTGATATTCTAGAGATGTAAGGGAACATCCTTGTTTGGTACTGACCCCAGTAAAAATAACAGCATCCTCATTTTTATATTTTTGTCAGTGAAATCAAAAGGCAAAAACTACACTTCCCAATGAAATCACAACTCATATCGCAATCACAATATTTTTCACAGTGATCGCAATCTGATTTTTTTTACATATTGTGCAGCCCCAACACTGACTCAGCTGTACCACACACATCACAACCCTTAATGCACTTCATATGGCAAAGATGCAAAAAAGGCACAATATGCTGTACATCCCCTAAAAACAAACAAAACATCAGACTGGTAAAAGCCATCTGTTGCTTTTTTGTAGAAAATACGGCCTGCATTAGACAAAGCCTTTTCGAGCTCTCATCTTCCTCAGATTGCTACTGCTGTGTGCTGCCAACTTAGCGCCCTGATTTGGCATGGAAAATAGGAAACCTTTCTGAGGAGAACAAAGGCCTGTGACAAAGACCCACCTTCAGGCCAGCAACATTTCCAGATAATGTGCGGAGCTCACTCACATTTTGCCAGGAGACAAGCTAACCTGGCAGACAGCCATTCTGCACACAAAGCTCAAAGGCCTTTTAGCTCCAAGGGCACGTCCCTAGAGGTAGCTGAAAAAGATTACGAGGACTTGTAAGACTGCGAGGCACCACGGTTTGGTTCCACAGCCTAAAGCTGGACCCGTCAGACAGCATATCATACGGAATGAGTTCTTCTCTAACATGACCCGGCCCTCACACAGTCAGACAAATTTCAACCACGTAGGCAGAGCTCTGGCCTTTCCCAAGCTAAACCCACAGCTGCGAGGGGTTTGGCACATGCAATCTTCCAGTTGTGAGATCTACTGAAGAGACTCCATGGGTATCTGTAAAGGTGCAAGTATGGCCTGACCAAGTCTGGCCGATGTGTCAAATCTTGTGTAATATGTTTTGTGTGTTACAGGAAATGGGGAGAAACAACAATGTCTTGCACAAGTTGATATTTTTAACATTTCGAAGAGAGAGAACCAGGAGGGCTGCTGCACGGAGGACTCCTCAGGCACAGAGTATTAACCCTACCTGCGCAAAGTTTATGCACCTGAACAACATTTCACCTGGCACCATAAAGAGAGTATACAGGCCAGTGAACACTGCAAATAAGGGAAATTACATTACTGGACCGCTAAGCTAACTTCCTGTAAGTCTGTACTGGTGCTACAGAGTTGCTTCAAAAAATAATGTTTATCTGTTTACTCACTGATATACAGCAGAAAAGGAAGCTGGTGACACTGACCATATAAGCCCCACATCAGATGCTCTCATAGCCAGTTTGCCAAAAATGTGGGACTGAGAACAGAATTTCATTTGCAGAGACAATTAAGAAGTCAAGTGCTCCTGCCCAAAGCTCCTGTTCTGCCTCTTTCTTGGCAGTAAAGGTCCTGATGTCACTGGTGTGGTGAGAGAGGGTTTGAGGGCAGCATACAGAGGGAGAAAAGTTCAGAGGCACAGCTAATTAAATAACTGGTTACCATAAGGGTCTTCCCGGCCCTTAACATGATGTGTATATATGGATCACTGGAGTCACTCGGGAGTTAACTTTATTAGCCCGTTTCTTTAGGAAGGGCAGCTTCTCTGTCTCTGTCTCTGCCTCGCCCCGTACTGCAGTACTCTTTGCTCAGCACTCAGAGGAATACTTCAGTAGGCTCATACAGCTGTCAGCCGTTTGGGGTCTCTAGAGGACAGATAATATAGCTGCATGCTGTGGTTATGGAGCAATAAACAATAAGCTAACAGCTACTTCAAAAGCTATAAAAAAGTGCATATACATTGACATTGTAAACAATAATAACACATCAGAGACGGAAGCTGGATGGTCTGTATATACTTGGTCACACGTGATTTGTCTTGCTTTGATCCGAATCGGGACTAATTTTATTACAAAGTTGCATAATTGCCTAGAGTTGATTCATGTTCTCACGGCAGCATTTACAAGTGGACCAGATCAAATGCCTTGTGTGAGAAAGCTGCTCTTGATTGGTCAGAATTTCCATGCAGGAAAAATCCAGGAAGTGAACAAAACGTTGAAGAAGAGTACACTTGTAAGATAAATGTGACACTTTCTAATGTCACAATGGAGGGACAACTACGCAGGTTGATTTTAGCGCTGCTCATCGTAGACTATATTGCTGTCATTGTTCATTTTAGTCAAACCATACAGTTTGAAAACGAGGCGCGGCTCCAACTAGAAAACAATGTTTTGATGCATTGGATGTGCTGAATGTGCATATTAAGGCAGTACAGGAGGAGGTGCACATTAATAATCCTCCAGCACTGTAACATGCTCATGTTTAACCCAAACAATGTGTCATGTGACTGCAGTTGGTTCACATCCAGGTCGGAACACGTTCTCACCACAAACGAACCACACCAGAGTTCGTTTGCAACCAGACAAAGACCACCTCTTCAAGAAGGTCTCAGTTCCGTTGTTTTGGTGCACACTGGAGTGTGATTGCTGCGTTCACACCTGCCCAAATGAAACGCACTTAGGGGGCAAACTTGAGTTCGATTGAACCAAACCAAACAGGGCAGGTGTGAAAGCACCCTTCATATTGTGTAAAAACATATATTTTCCTCGTATACACGCAACAGAATTTTAGGATACTAAAGCAATGCTTTTTGAAAATGCCGTCCAAATGGAGAGAGTTACCAAAAATCTGATTTCTGTGTATCTGTGTGGACACATAAAACAGGGCATGTGGGGAAAGATGACATCATCTCCTCAATTTGCACATCCCCATTATTGCTTTGTGTAATGAGCGTCCACCAGACACAATAACAGCAATGGTAGACTACTGGTTTGTTAATGCACTGCTTGGTCTAATGACTTCTTTACACTTAAACTTCAACAACTTCACGCATGAACGGAGGCGTCTGCTGCATCCAGTGTTTTTTGGTCCACCTCAGCGTCTGCGGTTAAAAGTCTGATGAAACAATGTTTTTGGATCAGATCCAGGCGAACCAGCAGATGGCGGGACAATTCTGAGAATGGTATTGTTGTCGATAAGGAGTAGAACGAAAACGTTTGCATGTCCAGAGTATTACTTGTATCTTTTAGTGAGTTCTTTTGGCCTTACATTAAAGGGGACTCAACAGTGATGACATCCAGGAGGTGTTTTGAAAAGTGTGGCCTGTACACTTTACTACCTTTTGCGACAAGGAAAGCCAACGCTGGCGAGCATTTGGAGTATTTTTGCATTCTAGTGTGGACACAGCTATTTTGTATAATGAATAATTTGATGATTTTTTTTCCCCCTATACAAAGCAGGACAAATCAGTTTTCAAAAATATCTGTATATGTGCAGGCAGGACCTAAAATGTCACTAAAAATAAATCACTAACTGATCACTCACCATGCCGTCTCCACACTTTGTACCAGCCAGAACCAGCCCAGGATCAGGCATGTCATCGCCCAGATAAACATGCGTTCCTCGACACAGAATACGCCCTCCTTCCTGTAGCGGGATGTTGGTTTCAATGGAAACTGCATTTGTTCCAATCACTGGCCGGTTGGCTCCTCCCTGGCACTGAATTTTACCACACTTTGCATCCCTACGTGCAACACACACAGAAATAGAAACACACATGCACACAGACGTTGGAAGACTCATAGTAAAACGATCAATAAAGCTTTGAACATAAAGGCCTGTCAATCAGAGACACAGATAAGTAACTGTAGAGACAGATGAAAGACTGCTGAGGAGAGCTGCAGTGCTTCAGTCCTCCGGTCATTAAAGCAATTACATCAATTAACAAAGAGCTTGATTACAGAATTCACCCAAAGGGAGAAGATCTTTAGAACAATTAGCTTACAAGAATAGCATGAAATGATTCATGAATACTTTCCTAGACAGTAATTAGCCGCTATCTTCCTCAAATTACATTCTTTCACCCATGTAAACTTTTGTTTGAAGATCACATGTCAGATTCCACAGCGTAATGAAGATTGCTAATGACACCACTTAAGCTAATCAGTTGTGTTTTGCACAGTAATTTCTCTGCACCTCTACCACATCACTGCAGCTGCAGCGTCTTACCTCGCATCGCATTTGGCAAAGGAGCCTTTGGAGTCCTTCCCGCAATTCCCGTAAGGGTCCCCTGCAGAGTTGACTCGCTCGAAGCATATCCCAGGGGCAGGCTTGGCTCCTGCACACAAAGAAAAACAAGCAAAATACAAAATGTAATCACCATAATGAAGTGAAAGATTCCCAGTATGAAAGTGAGGATGATGTACACCGTCAAACTTATCAGGAGCCATTGATTTACCTGGTCCCCACAGAGTGATGCATTGCTGCTCGTGAGTCTGGCAGATGCCGTTGTAGCAGTAGCCTTCAACGCTATGGCAGGCGTGTCCATCATGCAGATAAACGTTGGCTGGGCAGTGAGGGTTGGCACCAGTACAGAACTCTGGCAGGTCACAGGAGTTACTGGACTCTCGACACAGGGTGCCAGCGGGTTTCAGCTGTAGACACATGACATGATACGCTACAGTAAACCCTTTCAGACAATGAATCTGGAGAATTGCTGACTCCATCTATCTGTCAAGGACAATGCTTTTTGATAAATGCTCTGTTATGTCTTTATTTAAACGTGGAGGCACTGACAGTGATAAATAAGAAACAAGACCATAAAGTCTACAGCCGTGCTCACAACAAAAATGCTAATTCGCTTATGCTAAGCAGGTATAATGTACCCTGTAGCATGTTTAGCATGTTAGCATGATAACATTAACATCACCTCGCAGTTCATTTTCCATTTCTAGGGGGCGCTATCAGCAGCCACAAAATGCCTCTGAATGTAGTTGGATAGACCTACAACCAATCAGAGCATGAAACGTGTGACACAGTGCTGAGCGCCATATGCAAGTTGGGGCTGTACTTGGTCCATTTCCAAGCAGGAAAAACATGTGGGCCTGGTCACAAACATTCTCAAATTACAGCTAGACGGTACCCTAAAACATGTTTCTGAAAACATCTGTGGGAAATAGGCAATGCAGTGACAGAATTTACATTCAAGTTTGACAGTTGGAAGTTTCGTGAGCCTGTTTTTTTGCGCTGGACAAAACAGACTGGAGGCAATCACAACCAATCAGAGCAGCAATAAGTGCAGATTTGCAAATCTGGACTGGTGATGCTCCTCTGCCAATGATCGTAACTACAGATGTACCAATACCACTTTTTCCTTCCTGATACCGATTCTGATCCCTGAACCTTAGGTATCTGCCGATACAGAGTACCGATCCAATACCAGCGTGTAAAATAAAAATGGATGGGATATGAATAGTTGTATGTCTCAACTCCTAAAACTCTATGTAAAATATTAAGAAATAAATACATAATAGTAGAATGAATGCCATAAAACTTTTTTTTTAATTATTATTATCCAGTGTTGACATAGATCAAGACACAGGTTAAAGTGCAGCCACACAATTTGGTAAAAAAGACATTTTAAAGGCTACAGTAGAATGCTTTTTAAACTCCGCTCCGTTTCTGTTTCGTTTGCCTGTAGCATGAGTATGCGTAATGACGTGAGGCATTACGTGGTATCGGATTGGTCATAGGCTGTACTCGCCGATACCCAATACCGCATTTTAGGCAGTATTGGAGGCATTTCCGATACTGGTATCGGTACAACTCTAATTGTAACCCCGCCCACATTGGATGAACAGTTGTGATTGGCCCGGCCTGGAAATCTATCTGAACAGAAGAGGGATCGGATGCATCTGCCTGAGCAAATGAAACATGAGCTCACAGAGCGGTCTGGTCACCAGGCTAAATAGCGTCTGCTAATTAGCACTAAACACAACGTACAGCTGACGCTAATGGGATTTTGGTCATGAACCAAAGTATTGGACAAATTATAATTTTGACCTGATGATTGTGCTAGATATAAAGTTAGAAAATCACCAGCATTATTTGTGATGATTATTTTGTGGTTATTTTCTCTTGTTTGTGCATAACAAACAAGCTCTAAAGAAGCAGACACATTTTGACAGATTCTCAACCTCGTCCTGATCTGGCCTTTATGTTAATTCAGACTTGAGCCGTGTCGGACTTGTTATGGAATGATTATTGGATCTGACTCGGTAAGACCGCCATCATGCCTTTAACTGAAAAGTGACTGGAGGGCTTATTTAAATATGAGAATAAAATAACCATTTTCATGCCCAAAACGAGCTGTACACACCAAAAGCACCTTCGACACGGGGCTCCAGCTTACGTAAAACATTGAAAAATACTGATGTCTCATGCCATGAGGTCAAACACACTTTTGTGTGAAGCACAGGGATGGACTAATTTGACTTAAAATGGAGGTCTTTGCAGAAACATGTTTCAGGACACAGTGAGTGTGTTTAATCATCTTCAACAAATGTTCCTTTTCAAAAAGAGAACACACATCTAAGATACTTAGAAAAAAGATTTTCATGTCAAAGCAGATTCCACTAATAGCTCGGTGAAAGTGAATTTCATGCAATCCAACTTGAGACCTTGTCCATAATTGAAATCGGCCTATTGAGGTAAAATATACAAAGTTGGAATGAGCTGAGTTATCAAATTATACATGAGGGCACACTATTATGAGTCCCTTAATAACCTACCAGAGAGAATTAACAGCATTTCAGAAAGTTTAAGGTCTTGCACTTGAGTTTCGAAATGAAAAATGTTCACCTCTGCAGAGCAAATCTTTTTGTCATGTTCAGAGAAGCAGAGAAAATATTTTAGATCTTTTTAGCTATGTGAATGACAGAAGGCCATTTCAGATGGAAAAAGAGATCTAAAGTGGAAGGAGAATGTGAAAGACAGACTCGGGCCCACATTAAAAGTCTTACCCTGCAGTCTTCACAGCACTGTCCGTGGGCGCACACAGCGTCTTCTTTGAGGGTGCATGTGGTGGCGTTGCAGCATGGGTTCATACATTCCTGGGAAAAAAAACAAAATAGTTAACAACATGTGGACCTGATCATCTCTCTCGAGTGACTCTCTCAGCTGGTCCCTGTCAGATCAAGACTTCCAGGTCAGGGGAGTGCACTTCCTGTGCGGGAATTCCCGTCTTACTTACCCTGACCTGGAGACCTTTGAGTGGAGACCAATAACTGAAGCTCATATGTTCTGGATTTGGGAATTCTGGAGACTTCCGAACATTAAGAGGAGCGTGTTTAATGCGATGAAGCAGAGGAGCAAGAGATAAAAATCCAGTGCAGCAGTTGGAAGGGTGTATGTTTAACACCCTGGACTCCAATTTGATGTAGATAGTGGAAAGATGTGGCAGAGCTGACTATTAGGGTATCGTGGACGGCAGCTGGAGTGGGATTTGAAAGCCCTTAAGAGGCGAAGATTGTAGCCACTTCACCACATTGACAAGATCAACTGGCTGCTGGCAGAAACCGACAACAAGAGAGCGGATACATAAGGAGAAGTCGAAAGGGGAGTAGTGCTGTAAAAGACTTCAGGGAGGGTGTTGCAATGTTTATCTTTCATTGGATGCCAAAACACATCAGCTTTGTTTTCCAAGTAGTGTCACGCATCGCACTATCACGCAGAAAACAACTCCCACTATCATTTATCTTCTCTCAACGTGGCTGTTTCACTCATGGGGCTCTAAGGTAATGATAAGATGTGTTGAAGGCTGGGACCTGGAGGCGGCTGGCTTGTTGGACGTCTAATTTTCAGTTGATGTGTTTTGTTTTGTTTTTTTGTATTTTTTTTTATGAGTCTGGCTGTTTACCTCTTGGTCCTGATGTAAGATTATTGTTTGGAGAGCGGAGAAAAGGTTTGCTTTTATCTCTGGGTCTGAGTGGGCCGGCAGATAAAACAAGCAGGCCCTTTGTGGTGACATCACAGAGGTTATGGAGGGGCACGCTGGTAAATGTAAATCTTACAGTTGGTTTATTGGTGGTCAAACACAATGACTCTACTGAAATCCTAACTACAGTAGTCTGTAAATGATGGAGTGCATAGTCATAACACTACTTAGCTAAATAATCAAACACAATGTTGAGTCAGTTTAAAGAGGTAGTTCAGCAAAAGTACAAAAACTTTAACGCTCACTCAAAAATCAAAGTCTTTCATCAGAAACAAAGCTCAGATTAATCCTGATTAGGGATGGACTCTGATAGCTGGTTCCATTTTGGATACTGCTCTCGGTTGACAAAACACCCAGATTTGTTAAAGTTATACTATGTAAGACTTACAAAAACAAATTAATAAATAAAGAAATCCCTCTCAATCATCCCTTATGACCCACTAGCAGTGTGTGATGGTGTCTGTATCTCCAAAGAACCTGTCCTTTGCTTGTATTTTCTTACTTTCTTTGTATTCTGCTTTGTTCAGGATGCCTCTGAGTATCAACCTTTGGGTGTGTAGTCCATAGCCAATAGCAGCACAAGATTGGGACGCTTTAAAAACGTAGCGACCAGTTCCCCATTTTGACAGTCATGGGCTGGCTCGGCTTGGCTTGGTTTGGGCCGTCAGCCCAGCACAGCAGGGATCTGCATTTCCATCACAACAGGGCTACCCACTTGAAGGCAGGGTTTTCCCTGCCTATCTAAGACTGGGTGATTTTGGCCGCCGCCTTGGTAAAAGCGTGTGTGTGTGCATGGGGGGCATTCAGATGTAGCGTCTTTTGCATGCACAAACCCATTACTTTCAATGTAGACGTGTCATGCTTGCTCACAACCCAAAGCGACGCCATAGCAGCACGCATTCGGTGCGACGCACTTGTTTTTCCGTCTGGTGCACAGCTCCATGGACCTGCTTCTCCCTCCGTGTTGTGTCAGATCCCAGTTCCCCCTCAGGCTGTGTCTCTCCTACTGTTTCCCACGGAGCTCTGCCCCGTTTGAAAGGCGAAGGAAGCCCGTATGGGGAAAGACGTCACCTCCGAGATGTAGAATGTGTATTATAGAAGAGAAACACACATTTCAGGACCGCTGACTTGTATCATCAGAACAGACATGTCCTGTGATTTTCAGCATCCTTTCATATTTAATAGAAGGGGGACAATACCTGACAGTAATATTCTCAGCTGTCAGGATGTGCCTGCTGTAAAGGTGTACATAAGGTGTATATAATCACAGAAGGCTGAAAATCACAGGACGTGTTTGTTCTGTTCATACAAGTCAGCAGTGTAAAGCTCAAGCATGTGGGGGCCTCCTTTCATAGATGCCCCCCGCCACAGGCCTTTGCCACCTTGGTCTCGAAAAAACCCAAGGAAAACCCTGGAAGGTGTGTCTTCAACTGATGATGACTTTGCTTGAGTGATGACGTTTAAAAGGGGACAATGAAAATTAACTTGCTAAATATGATACACAGCTGCACCTGGCTTCTCCTCTGATACTCCTCGTTTTACTGTAGCGTTATGCTAATGATATGTAAAGCCTCGGGACCGGTTCCCTTATGTTTGTGCCGTAAGAAACCCTGTCTGTCTGAATCCGTTTTTTTGAGAATGTCATTGGTAAACTGCAGTTCCAAGGCGGAAATGCTGAACCATGGACGCTGACTGCTCATTTTGCTCATAATATGTCTTGTAGTGCATAGAAAACACCATATGGACATGTTAACAAGGGTAAAACTTGACTTTAACAGGAGGGCTTCTTTAAGCTCTGATGCTAACGAATCTCTTATCAAGCCTTTTTTCTTTCTTTGTTCATTTAAATAAAGTTAGCAGGCTCATTTTGGCTGGTGCTGACTGTCCCTTTGATCGCTTAAAATGACAAACGGCACCGACCTAGGGCTGATATGACACTAAATATTGTCTTAGATTTTTGATACCATAAGTGATGTAATATTGTAGCTGTTCTGTTGCCACATTACTGATGATTATTTACCAAAAATCTGAATATTCTTTGAAAGCACCTACAGTCAACCCTGAAATGTCATCACAACATTAATATCGAGACATTTGGTCACAAATACTGTGATAATTTATTTTCTTCATATTGCCCAGCCCTACACCGACCATATCAGCTGCAGCTAAGTAACAATAATTTAGTAATGGCTAAAATAAAACTTGTCTGTGGTTGTTATGTGCTCACAGCAAGCAGGCATCTTTACTCGTCAAGGATTCGTGGGGGGAAAGGAAACATCACTCTGTGACACCAAGTGTGTTTTTGTAGCTCAAACAGAGTGACGACTTCTCTCAGGAGAAATGATGTCGCTGACGGCATCACCTCAATTCCAGCTAAATCTCCTGGTTAAACTTTTATGGTTATTATATCAATATTTCAAGCTTATTAACTTAATAGCTCTGCATCATGACCTCCAGTATTCTGAGTAAACAGCTCATGAAAAATAAGGTGTAAAATTCAGTAGGCAACAACTTGTTTCATTCTATCAGATGCATATTTAATCAATATTTCATATCTTCTGCTGATCTCATTTTCAGGTCTTCTCTACAGGTTGTAAATATTAATTAAGGTGTTTCTGATCTGGATCTTTGAGTTATTTATATATTTAGTTACCTGAAAGTGTTAAAAGCTAAATTTAATTACATTTGATAAGGAATTTGAGAGGATCCGATTGGCGACGCAGATAATCAGATGGGGCAGTATGAATATCTGTCTGATGAAGGGCTGAGACAATCACTTAAAAAGGTTTAAAAGATGTTTTTCAAGCATAAATGCCAAACATTCAGTGGATGCAGCTTCTCAAATGAGAGGATTTGCTGTTTTGTATCATCATAAATTTATGGGTCTTAGAAGTTGGTTGGGCAAACAAGCAATTTAAAAAATTGTGAAGACTATTTTTCACTGGTTTTCACCGACAAAAATTCTCCGAGAAACCCATCAACCTCAAGGGATTTTGAGTATAGCTATCTATTCATCGTCAATTCTCCACACGGCTGCCCCGGCTGTGACTGAGTGTTACCTGCTTCCCACATGTGATTCTCACTCCACTTCCCAAGGCGCCCTACAGTGTGTGCGAGCCAGAAACAAAGCATGTGTGGGTGGATGCATGCATCAGAGCGTGCCCAGTTGTTTGGGTGGCAAAGCCAAAGAAAGCTTATTTCAGCTTCGACCCGATTATGCTTTTGTTTGTTTCCTTTGTCACACAGTTGGACAGTGGTTTGATTAATGGGCCTTCAACAAGGACATGACATCACTGTGGCAGCCTGTCAGAGCGCTGCTCGGCACATGTGGGAAGCTGAGAGAAGGTGTGATGTAAATAAAACACTTATATTGGAGGCCTCGGGCGATTTGCTGAGCTTTTAGGCTTGTTTTTGCACGGCAGGTTTCAATGCTTTTAAGCAGCAAACACAACGTCAGTGTCAACAGAAAGTTTTAACTTGGAGTTTGTTGTGTTTTGTTGGGAGGTCTGAGGGAGCTGTTGAGACTTTCGGTGGTTCTGGATGATTGCTTACAGGACAGTTAGTGCTGTTTTCTTTGGACGCCTGGCTTTGTAAAGGGAGTATCAAGTTACAACAGTGCACGCTCTGAGTGTTTTTCTCATGATTTGTTTCTATCTAGTCTTTCCTTACGTTTGCGTATTAATATATTGATTTGAGTGGGTGGTGCACTGTAAGTAGACATGAGAATCTTAATAGAAACCAGACCTGTTCTTTGGATACTTTTGGGAAACGGACCACCCATTGAATTCTCCTGAATCAAATTAACTACCCTTCGCTGAATGTTGACTCACCAAAGACTTGAAATTGATTTTCTTTTGTGTTTTAACTTTTGTTTATCCAGCAAAAACATTTTCTTGTTACACAGTTTCACCATCACCTAGTTACAGAGTGCTGCCCAGTTCAACCATGGTGTTTGAGACTGATCCACTCCACTGAAGCAGGTCAGGATGAAGGCCTCTGCTCTTCACAGCGCTGCCACTAACAATATTTTTCTATTGAATAATCTATTGACAATTTTACCAAACAGTTGATTCAACTAAACGATTAATATTCCTCTAAAAAAATCAAATTGACCACTTTATGTGAGTTCATTTAATTTTAAAAAACTGTTGTCATTGTATAGTGTGTTTACATATTAAAGCGCAAAACTGTAGGTGTAAACAGGCAACGTCAAAATAAATTAAAAAAGAAAGCTTATTATTTAGTCAGTGGTGCGAACGTACAGTGTACACAGGTTCTGCCTCCAAGGCCCCAATTATTTGTTCATTATTCAATCATTATTACTGGGGTCAATGTCATGTTATTCCAATGTGCATGGCCTCTGGGATAACGCCTCATGCCCAGTAAGCAACACAGCCTCTGATTCGTCAACAAACTCAACCCAATGCATCATGGGATGGACTCTTGCCCTCAGTAGGATTCAGTTAACAGCTAATGACAACAACAATAACTCCTTTTAACACAAATCAATAGATAAACAGTCACAGAAGACATTCATTGTTGGATTTATTGGTTTTATACAGACTTAACAAAAGCACTGCTGTTTCGTGCTGGATTAAGAGGCTTCTGAAAGCGATATGATCGCACCGGAGTGGAAAGCTACAAAGGTGAAGTGGAGGCCATTAACCTCCTGAGACCCGAGCTTTTGTTTGGTATGCATTCTTAATTTTTCCTAGCTATTTGGGATTAGCAGGACCTGATAAGTTTAAAAAAAACTAACATTGTCTTTGAACACTAAGTAGTTTTGAGAAAAAGTACGTCCTTTTATGAGGACAATGGATTTATTTTTAATAATTCCAAGTATGTAATAAAGTAGAACACTGTTTATTTCAGTGCCTGAACAAAGCGACGATGCTTCAGTGTTTTGAGTGGTCACTGTTCAGGTCTAAAATTGTTCAAAACTGTTAATTTCAATGCCTGAACATCGCTTTGCAAAAACAAAATTGCAAATAATGCAACATTTCTACAAGCAAGGTGATTTTGTTTGTTTTGTAACTCATATGAATTTTTCTTGCTCCATACTCCAATCGTGGAATGTGCTTTTTGTCTGTCACACCTCGTTGGCCTGTGTGAAATGCTGCCATGACACAATAATAACCTCCCAATGTCCTAAAACAAGTACTGCCTAATAAACAGCATCTTAGTTTGTTATGATTGTTAAAATTGGTCATATTTGTATGCAACGTCAGACTACAAATGTTTTTTTTTTAGCATAAATAAGTTAAGTTTCAACCATGTTATTTGATCAGGTTTTGTACCTTGTCCACTTTTGTGTCAGAATCGACTGAGACAGTCGAGACTAACTTGACAACTAACTTGAGTTGGCTGCAATCTTGTTTTTACATAGATTATTGTATTGTGCTTTTGCTACTTGTATGTGGCACATACAAGTGTCCATCAATGAGGACAACAGGTCTAAGTTCAGCAGAATGAAGTTTAAGGTGCAGCAAACCCAAAATGTGATGTCCACATATGAGGTAAGTGTTCTAAGAATAGTAAGTACATTGATGTCTTAAAGGACATTGTCAACCTTGGGGCATCTTACTCCTTTTAATTATACTGATCATCGATTACACACTAACACACACACATAGTCAGGACCATCGATCACTTTAAAACAAAACCAGATTCTAGAGTGCAAAAGAGTCGGACTCTGCTGCAGCTGCCACTTTCTAAAAAACTGTAGCATTTGTTGAAAGTATTGATATTGACACATTGTAAGCATCAAAGTCATCGATTATGTCGACCAGTCACGGCTGCCGTAGCGCTCCACCTTACCTCTGGCTCCCCGCAGTCACACTCTTCTCCCTCCTCCACATATCCATTGCCGCACTTCTGGCCTCCATAGAGCACCTTGACTTCTGGCATATTGTCCAAACACATGCCCACACCTTTCTCCAGACTGGCAGCAAGGTCCTTCTTACTGCATGTACTGAACACTGTTGGGAATGGATACCTACAAGAAGAATGGAATATCAAGGTTGACTGAAATGAAGACAAGATTTCATGACATGAAAAATACCAGGAGATGGAAGAAATCCTGCTTTGTGTGCTTTTACTGCTCTGAAATCAAAATGGTCTGCAGTGGGTGGACTCAATCATTCCGCTGAGCCAGAACACAGACACAGCTTTCACTGAGACCTTTGTTCAATCTGCTCTTTCAAGAGGCCCTTCACACAAATTTAATGGTCTACTGACGTTGTACTGTATGAGCTCCAGTTCAATAGATTTTCAATCCTCCTCAATACATAAACGGCCCATCAAGTGTCCAGAGAAACATTTTCTCTGGCAGCTACATCTTCAAGAGGCATATCCTGGATACACCGGGACAATTTAAGCAACTGACTGGAGGGAAGAGTACGAGGAGGGGTATGTTGGATGTGGATAACTTGTGTGTGTGAGCACACGTGTGTGTATGTGGAACCTTGGTAAAATAGCAAGACCGAAACCACATCATTTCTAACACATTCATTTCACTCCCTGGTATCGCTTACCTGAAGGGCTGACTAATGTCTAATTTAGTGAGGAAAGAAATTGGATTTCGTATTGAAAACGAGAAAATGTTATGACTTTAAAGATGAAACTGTGTGATATGCCAATAACAGCTGTGGGGCCCGAGGGAATGGTCCTCCTGCTAGAGTGAGCTTCTGTGAGTCTAGGAACCAAGGACCAGAAATAAATAGGGAAAGAGATATGGAGAGTGAAAAACAAATATAATATGTAGATAAGCAGGAAAAAGAAACTGAATATAAAGACTGGGGACAGAGACAGACCAAAACACATCCAAGGCTTAGATACAAAGACAGAAAACCATCCATGAAGAGAAACGGGATGGATGAAAACATGGACCAAACAAGAAAACAGCCAAAGTCCGGTTGCTTTACCAGAGTTAAGGCCAGTTTGGTGGTCAAGGGTGGCACAGGCTGCATATTTCTGTCTGAATGTGACCTGAGCCTGACGCATTTAAGGTCAAGCCCAGTTCAGACCAAAGATTCACAACAAGACAAGATGAAACAGGCAGTTACATACAATGCGCTGTTCTGCAACATTCTATAAACCTGCCGGTTCACACCAATGACACTTGATGAGATGGTGCATCATCTCTGTGCTACGGCTCTCTGTACTTGTGTTCTGATTTACAGCTTTTCAGGCTTTCTACTTGATCCGTCAATTAGAATGTGTGTGGGTGTGTGAGGGGGTGTAAATGCATACAGCAAGCATCAGTGATCAACTGTTCGACACCAGCACACCATGAGGATGGAAACAGAGGGCTCAGCGGGGACAGAGCACCTGCTGCAGCAAGCAAACATGCCGTCTGCGGTCATTTTGTCTTGAGCAGCGGACTTCACTACAAGCCGACTGGTTCTAGAAACCGGTGACATGCCTTACATTCTAAAACCAGCCGCCGGTGATTTGACCAGCTGAGTTGCGAGTGACACCATCAGCATCACACAACCATCACACCGCTGCAACTTTTCTCTGCAACGTTCTAAAACGGTTTTGTCTCGTCGCAAATCATTGCTCTGAACTGGGCTTAACATTCCCTGTTTGCTGCTGCTGCTAACTGGAAAAGGCCAGAATGTTTCAAGCAAGTACACTCAGCTTTGGGTAACGATCGGTGATGAATTATTGTTGATATCCTCCATTGTTGACAATAACTCTCATAAATATTTACCACCTTAAATAGCCTTTGTGCTGCATTCATGTGTTGTCACTGTAACGGAAATTTCTACATACTGTCTTATTATGCTCACGACAATGGACACCACGAGAACAGAGGTGCCTGTATGATTGTTACTGTAGCAACAGTGCCCTGTAACAGATTCATCCTGTCCTTGGTCAGATCACACAAAACTGGTTCAAACCAGTATTTCTTATCAACTGCCTGGATACCTCTGTTGTGTGACCTTTCCGCCCTGTCTGTAAATGTCTGACTGTTAGTTACTGTTTTCAGATCTCACTCTACAGATACTGAAGTCTCTGTATGACCTGACTGCTCTTCTCGAAAGAATAAACCACACAAAAGACTTTGTTTTCTTTTACAGTCTTTATTCAGCCTCCTCATAGAAGACATTCTTCTTCTATTAGATCACGTGTTCATGTCCCAGCACTGAACAAGAAGTAGCCCAAGACAGTCAGCAGGTCAGCCATACGCCGACCCAACCCGAACATCATTTGCAAATATTTATCTGAACCCCGCCCGACGCTTCTGGTTCTGTCAGGCTTGGGTTGGGTATCCACACCCGAGAGGAGACACAGCTGACAGCTGTCAGTCAATCTGCAGTGTTGGGGATTTGTGTCATTCACTGCAAAGTTTGTGCTGAGGTGAGTGAGCTGAGGTAGGGTGGAATTGAAGGTAGCGTGAGCATAACGAAAACAGGGGACAATGAGTGGAAGTGAGGAGCAAAGCGGAGGTAAACCTGAAAAAGAGCTCGCACTATCCTCAAAAGCAGATGAATTTGTGGGTAAAAAAGGTTACACGTCGCCAATAATTTGAAAGTGGTTTGGCTACTTGAAAGCCGACGATGCTCGGACAAAGACGGTCTGCAAAATATGTCGTCGGTTGGTGCCAACCAGGATGGGAAACACAACACACCTTTTCCATTAACTTAAAAGGTAGCATCCCAGCAACTACACTGAGAGCTAGGGCTGCAACGAATAATCGGTGACTATTCTAGTAGTCGACTACTTGGTTTGAGTCATTTTTCATAGAGAAGTACTATAAAAATACCCCAAAATACTCTTATTGCAGCTTCTTACGTTCAAATATTGGCAGCTTTACACACTCTCCCATGACAGTAAACTAAAAACATTTGGCATGAGTACGAAACAAGACATTAGATGACATAATTTTGGGGTTTGGGAGAGACAGAAAGACATTTTTCAACATTTTAACACATTTTTCAATAAAATGAAAATAATCGTTAGTTGAAGCCCTACTGAGAGCATGAAAATCCAGGCCAAAACTGCAGTAAGTCCACCAACAAGTGTTCAATGGCCGAGCACTTTTGCTGGGGGGCTGCACCAAAACAGCCACAAAAGTGTCCTCTTTTGCTGCCATAACCCCGTATGAGAAGCAATCGAAAAGGAGCAGAGATATAACAGACGCAGTGTCATACTTTCTAGCCAAAGTCATGATACCCATGAGCACCGTGAGGAAAGACAGGTTCAAGAAACTAAATAAAGTGCGAGACTGCAGGGACAAGTTCCCAGGCAGGAAATATTTTTCTCAAACTGCTCTGCCTCAGCTTTATGACGAGTGCCATGGGAAGCTGGAAAATCATTTGCTTTCTTATTATCAAATTATATATCGTGATAAATATCAATATCAATCATTATCGTGATAATATTTTTTGCCATATCACCCAGCCCTGTATGTAACTACAAATAATGTACTGGTTGGGTATTGCCAAGAACCAAGGCTCTAACATTAAACATTTCTATACCAGCCTCTGTGCTTTAACCTCCTCTAAGACCTGTGTCCTGCTTTGGTCTTTCTAACACACTGGCAGTATGAAACAAAAGCCACAGGGCATCCAGTACTACATCCCAGTTTAAGAGAGTAACATAACCAAGCCTCGGCCTCATGCTTCATGCCAGCTTACAAACAAGAGCAGCCTCACAAGACACAGTAAAGCAGGCTTTAGGCTGTATAATGAGTATCTCACAGCTCACACAGTCATAATGGGACATAGTCTAGCTTCATTGGGAGGACGTACAGGATGTTGGGCGGCAGGGAGCAATGGCTAGCAGAGAAGATTGGCAGACATGGCACAGAAAGAGAGGCAGCTGGCATCGGATGCTTGAAAAGCTCGACTTCAGACACAAACATGTCACACACATACTTATGCGGCGATAGACTGACTGGGGTCTTCAAACGCAACGGGGCGTGGAGACTGTCTGCAAAGCTCGCAGCTTCACGGGACAGATTTGTGAAAACTCAACATTACACAGAATATGTTTATGGAGCCTGGCGTTGGACAGAGGTGGAGGTTTGTGTGTGATGCTTTGCCTTTGCCTGAGGGGGATTTGGCTGTTGCTGCTGCATGGATATTTCACTGCCCCCCCCCCCCCCCCCCCCCCCCCGCCCCCCCCCCCCCCCACGAGAGAGCACAGATTTCCTGGGAACATGGAACACAGAAAAACATCCTTTTCTAACGGCCACCCTTGGGTGAAACCGCGGCGTCCACTTCAGTCACACTGTCCACCTTGGCTGCTTTCATCTCCTGCTGACCAAAAGCCAATCTACCTGTCTCTGCCTGCCCTCGTCTGCTCCCATAATCCACTTGTTAGAGTCTCTTCACCACCATAACAGAAAAAGAGCTTTGCTGCCCTGTGTGCTGAGACCCATGTACAAAACCAAGGATAGACAGACTATGCAAATCAAGCCATGTCACGGAGCAGACCGAGCCCCTTGTAAATAGCATGGGCTGCCACTGATAACAAAACACAGGCATGCTGTGGGATCAGCGCGAGGGGCTGGAATGTGTACAAGGGGTAAACAAAGTCTGTTCTCAATAACCCGGCATTAATGGTTAAAGTTGGGGAGTTGGAGATTTCTTCACTGAGGAAAATCAGTTTCTTTGGACCAAATCAGACCCACATGGAAAGTTTTAACAAGATCCAAAGGATATATGCGTGTTAAAAACAACATAAATTCAGGTCTATGAACACAGCCTTGCTTTGGGTTAACTCCCTTTTGCGGACTATTGAATGATTTATCTTCTTAAACACTGACAGTCTCTGAGCATAAACCAAAAACACACTTAATCACCAGGGTTAACCTGTCCAAGCATATGTTCTCCATCACTAACACACTGCACATCCCTCCTACTGGTTTCATGATGTAAAATAAAAACAATTTATGCTAGTAAATGCCAAAGCTGACACACAAAAAACATAAAAGTGATGTAATATTACTGATTGGGCTTTGAATCTGTGAAATGACATTTACAT